AGTCATAGTTAAGCACAGTTACAATTATAGCTATAACTACAGTTACGATATTTCACAGCAATCTCAAATGCACCCTTAGTGGAGGCACATGTAATTGATAGTTAAATTTGTTTTATTGATGTATAAAAAAAATTTGCCTTTAATCATATATATTTAATTATTTATAGTCCGACCGCTTAGCTTAAAACCTCTTTGGTCTCTCACAAATATTTAAATTTATTGAAGGAAAAACTTAAATATTCCTTTTTATAAGTTTTGAAAAGGCAACGGCGTAAATTTTCTTAAAATTTGTTTATAAATCACTTTAAAATCAATATTCAAAATTTCTTTCTAACATGTTTAAAATTTTATGAAAAAGAAAATAAAGTAGACGCAAACTGGCTATAGGTTCGAACTAGGATGCCCTTATTCACAAGCGGCTATCGCTTGGATGCCACAAATGGCCCGTCGCCCATATTTAAAGTCCACAATTGCTTAACTTTTTTACAGCTTTTGGGCCTTAGCTGCAGTGGTGGCCATTCTTAAACCGGCTTTTATTTTAATGTGGCCCTTTTATTTTAATACTACCCACCAAGGCCACACCACTATGATATGGATTAATTGGTTTAAACATTAAGGCCCTGTTTGGTAAGGAGAGGAAACTTTCCCCCTTCCTTCTATTCTTTAGAGTTAACTCGGTACTTTTACATATTAATATTATAACAAAATAAAGATAAAGTTTGAATTAGCAAATAATTTTTTTTACACAAATTTCAATGAATAAACTTTTCTGTCCACATTTTTTAAAAGAAAAGAGTTTCTCTCCTTCCCTGCTTTCATTTTAAAATTGAAAAATAATTGATACACACTTAGTTTAACATACTTTTTTAACACTTATTAGTTTAACATACTTTTTAACACTTATTATGATTCAATTATTAAAAGATAATATAAATATAGTTGATTTAGTCAAGTATTACATCTTGTATGCATGATTGCTTCTTTAAATTTGTTTGCCTTGAATTTCATACAAAAAAAATATAATTTTTTAATGAGTGTGTTGTGCAGTGTGTTGATATGAAGTATATACCAATCATTGTCCTTTAAGATTTCATTTAATGTTATTATTCTTATTTTACCCTCTTTTTAAGAAAATTAAAACACATACTACAATAAGCACACTTATTTAGATAGTAGTTAGTTAAGGATAAATATGAAAGTATGCTAACTAAAGTTGAACAAAGGGACTAAAATTTTTAGTGGGTCCTTCAATCCTACCTAGCTAATAAACTGTAAATTAAATATAACGAACAAAATAAAATGTGACATTAGATCTTCTCCCTTCTTCTTCCTCAATCTTCTCCTTCTCTCTTCTTATCATCATTTACTAAGCTCTCCTTAACTATATAATAGAGGATAGCCATCACTTTCTCATGTATAATCCCTTCAATTTCCACCTGTGATAGAACCACACGTAAGAGTGGTCGGAAATGGAACCTATAACACAGGTTCCGAAAAACTAAAAAAAAAGAGAGGCTAAATTTAAAATTTTAAGAAAAATAATGTTAATTAAACATTATGCCCTTAATTTTTTTTAAGGATAAAAAATGTTTAAGCTCTAACTTTAGAAAAATAAAAGGTTCTACCCTTCATCGATTTTTGGTTTCACTATTGTTTCCCATCTATATTGTAAAGATTTAAATATAATATCTTTAATTTAAAATTTTATGTTTTTAATCACTTAAAACACCACTTATAATAATAATAGTAATAAAAAAAATTAAAGACACTACAATTTTTAGAAAATCCTAAATCATAGCTATAGTTTTATTAACTAAGGTAAACATGTTAGCTAATGTAAATTCATTTATTTGATATTCTGCAGTTGATATAAGAATTTGTTATCAACAAATGTTATTAATTAACCTCTTCTTTGTCTAATAATGTAATTAACAACATTTAGCTGATGTAGCACTACCTGAATTGTAATTGTAAATTGTACTCAGTGCTAAGAAAATATCTTAATTTTGTCTTTCTTATCGCTGTACTTATTCATTCTTAAAAAGAGGACAAAAGAGGTGCATTTTTCATAAGAAACGCTCACACCTGGCACCCTTTGCTTCAATCAACTTTTTAATGCCCTGTGCATGCCCAATACGTCACACTAAACTAAGAGTCTTGTCGCCTTCAATTCCTATATATAAAACCATCTTCCGTCCTCACACTAATCATTCCCTGCGCAGCTGATCACCATCCTCTTCTCCTCCTTTCCATGGCTGCCTCCGTTGATCCCCTCGTTGTTGGCCGAGTCATCGGCGACGTGGTTGACATGTTTGTCCCCACCGTCAACATGTCAGTATACTATGGACCGAAGCATGTGAGTAACGGCTGCGAAATAAAGCCCTCTATGACAACAAACCCTCCCAAAGTTGTCATCTCCGGCCAGTCCCATGACCTTTACACTTTGGTTCGTCCTCCGTCCCCCTCTTGTATGCATGAGATTCCAGGACATATACATGATTGTCGTATACATGCATGCGAAATCTAACAAGTAGAGGGTGATGGTTTGTGCAGGTGATGACGGACCCTGATGCGCCGAGTCCAAGTGAGCCAACCATGCGTGAGTGGGTTCATTGGTCCGCTCTGCCTCCTTAAGTTTTCTTTTCTTTTTCTTTTTCCTTTTTTTTTTGGTGCCTTTGTAGTATATTCTTCTTAAGTTAAATTTTGGTGCAATTTACTTGAAATTTCAGGATTGTAGTAGACATCCCCGGAGGAACCAATCCCACTAGAGGTGATGCGTCTTTCATTTTTATTTTTTCAATTGCATGCTGTTGTAAATTTCTTTTGAGATAAGTGTTTATCAACTAAATTTAAAAAAGATTAAAAAGAAACATATTTTTAAATTATGTTATTTTATTAAAATATCACAAAAAAATAAACAAAACAAATTCATTTATGATTTAAAAATATGTTATTTTAGTCTATTTTAATAAGAATTTATTGAAATAATATAATTTAAAATTTTAAAAATTTTTTAGGGATTCAACTAACAATTTTTTTTTTTCATTTCTTTTATTTTCTATTATTTAGGGACCCAAATTAAATGTCCTTTGAATTCTGTCCTGTCTTAATCTTTTGCACATGCATGTGTCCAATGGTAAATTCAGTAAATTTTATCAAACAAAAATGTTAAATAAACCAGTAGTGTGATAATAATTTTTTTTATTCTTTTGGAAGAAAAATTGACGAGTGAATTTCAAAAATGATAACCCTTGAGTGGAGTGAGATGAAAGAAACTTGACTTATGGGAAGTTCACCATAATTTCTTCAAAACTCAATTGTTATAAGATGATGTCTAACTCCCCATTCTTTACTGGATCCATTTTGATCATCTAATCTGATTTTTTTTCAAATTTAAATTATGGGTACGTATATAAGGTGACAAGCTGAGACGATAGAGAATTGAGTCCTAAGATATATAATTGACCGTAATTTCCTTAAAAAACTCAATTGTTATAAGACAATAATGTAGAAAAAACGAATCTGAAAAAGCAAATTCTGCATAAGACAAATGTCTAGTAGTCTTTCAACACATGTCCAGATTAGCTCAAAAATCCACATGCGATGACTTTTAAGAAAACAGTTCATGTTCGGGGCATTCTGTCATGTTCTAACATTTTCTGATCTGTCCCTGTTTTTGTGCTGTAACGTCCCGCATTCTCCTTTGTCGTTTAGCATTTGATGCGCCACTAACGTTGACACGTGGTTGGACTTTTTAGGACAAAAGAGCATCACGCATCTTGTCATCGACACGTCAAGTCCACGTGTCATAACAGTTTCTTCAACTAGGCCGCTGTTCTGGATTCCTTTACATTACTTGCCGTCGTTGTATGATGTCCACGTTGAACAACCCACTTGTCTAAATTGATTGTCATTTTTTTGGGTTTTTTTTTGAAGGGAAGGAGACGCTACCCTACATGGGGCCACGTCCGCCGGTGGGGATTCACCGCTACATTCTGGTGCTGTTCAAGCAGAAGAGCCAGTTGGGGGTGGTGGAGCAGCCTACATCACGGGCTAACTTCAACACTCGTCTGTTTGCCGAGCATCTGAGCTTGGGCCTGCCTGTGGCTACTGTCTATTTCAACGCTCAAAAGGAGCCGGCCGCCAAACGCCGTTGAAGGCAGTGGGGGGCCCTGGGGGCTTGGTGGCTGTATAAATACATATGGACGTCGTTAAAGTCCGCTGCTTTTTGAAGTTTTATTGCATGTTTTCAGTTGTGTGTAGTATACATGCATGTGTGTGTATATCCATATATAAATATATGAGCCCGGTGTAATAATCTTGCGAAGGTAAATATATATAGATACAGGATTGTAATACTTCGTATGGTAAATTTTTCCTAAATTATCTTTATCTTTTGTGAAACTTTTAAATTATTTTTTAAAGTTTTATTTCAATCTTTAAGGAACTTATAGCGATAAATTAAAATTTTAGGGGTTTATGTTTAAGATGACAGCACAAACTTAAGGACTTATTTGTAAATAAAATAGAAGTATAGATATAGTTACACTTTAGAAGTTATAGCCTTAGCAAGAGTTGACTAAATTGATATTCATTAATTTAAAATTTTTAATTTGTAATGAAAGTTAGAAATTTAAACTTTTATATTTTCAAATAGTTAACCTTTTAATGTAAAAAAAAAAAAAACATAAAAAAAACCTTAGGCAAGAGTCCAAATGAAAAAAAAAAAAATTTATATATGGCATAGGGTAGTTAGCCGCATTTAGAGAAATGTCAATCATTCTATTATTTAATTAAGGTAATTTGTCTCCCAACATTTTAGTTTCTTTTGATGGATTTCGTAAAATAGCATAGAATATATTGATGTGAATATTTATCAATCTTAAAAATCTCTGGCGATGTTGCCATTGCTCCTGCGACTTTCCATCATTAGGCTTGGTGTCTATAGAAAACTCTTGAGTACATCTTTCATTTGGAAGTGACCTAAACTCATTTGGTGGAGTATTGAGTAATATATCGATTTATTTTTTATTTTTTATTTTTTATTTTTTATTCACTACTAAAATCCTCATCTTCAACAACATGCTTTCATATTGCTGAAAGTGCTTCTCATGTTGTTGAATATCCTTCAGCAACATGGCTTCGGTTGCTAAAAGTTTTGTTAGAGAAAGCTTAGTGGGTAATACATCATCAACCAAAATTTTGTTGCTGATATATCAATAACATGAGTTATGTTGCTGAAAATAGAGTATCAGCAACGTAATTATATTGCTGAAAATATTCACCAGAATCTGGTGGGAATGGAGGTGAATTTTCTCATCCCCTTTAGCAACATAAGTCACGTTGCTAAAAATAAGGTTTTAGCAACGTGACTTATGTTCCTAAAAATTGAGAGGAATATGGCCAGAAATCGACACCAGAATTTTGCCTAATTTTTAGCAAGAAAAGCCACATTGCTGATTTTCAACTTTTACCAAGAAAAACTATGTTGTTGATATTTATTTTTATACTTCCACCCACATTTTCAGCAACCTACTCATTGTTGCTAATGTTTATTCTAAATAGTATCAACAACATTTTTAACAACATACTCTTTGTTGGTGATGCATCAAAATACTTGATAAAAAAAATTATACTTACCAAAATTCTAAACACATATTTCTTATTTTAATTTTTATGAAAATAAATATATTACATTAAGTTTACACTATCAAATATTAAATTTAATAATATTACAATTTTTAAATATAAAATTGATTTTTTATAATCACCAAATATTAAATATCTTGATAGCTCATATACAATATAATTATTTATACGTATAATTAAAAAAATTATAACTACATATTAAATATTAAATATTTATTATTTTTAACTTAATTAATTTAAATTAAATAACATAAGTTGATTAATGTATGGTTATGTATTTTAGCAAACTTAAATTTTATTTTATTAAAAATTACATACAAATCAAATAAAATAACAAAATTATTAATTACTTTATATAGTTATTTATAAATATATTAACTTTCAAATAAATTGATATTAAATTAATAATGTAATATTTACAAAAATATAATTAAAATATGCTTAAATGTATTCAATTATTGATATATATACATATGGATTACATGTGTTAATAGAGAAAAAAAAAAAAAGAAGAAGTTGAAAGGCGTGTGGTTCTTTGCCCATATGTAGCAGGCAGCACGAGAAGGAAGGCATCCAGATTGAGAATTGCATAATACATTTGCTACCAGGAAAAAAAAAAAAAAGGAGGCTAGCTGAGAGGTATGCGGATCTGAGGATGTTGCAGCAGGCTGCGCGAGGAGAAGGAAGCTAGGCTTG